AAATTATAAATGCTCAACAAAACATTGGCCTTTACCCACCATGAATTTGTCCAATCCCCTCTAAAGCCATCATGATTTGTGGCCATCACTACCTCTTGTGGAAGTAAATTCCACAGTACACTTATGCACTGAGAGAACAGCCAACTGCCCACTCTAACCAGACAGTCTATCCCAAGGAAGTTGCTACCTGAACCTCAGTCAGATCCAGTCTTGTCTATACCAAGGTTGTTGAATCTCTTTCAGATTGAGGGATGAAGTCTACTTTGGAGGCGCTGTCCAGGGATGCATCCCAGTTCTGGGCAGGGCCTGAGGCAAAAGAGGCAGGACCACGTGACCGAACACCCCCCCCCCCCAGCATCTATGACCTTAAAGTGTGCACTGCTAAGTAATGAAGTCTTGGGAGAGGCATTTCCATTTTCTAGAATGGAGAAAAAAGAGCTACACAGAAGCTGTGAAACTGCCAAATGACTGGAGCTCAGGGTGCAGGGACAGGGGAAGTGGGCAAGCCACATGAGGAGGCCAGGAGGACCAGGCTGGAAGTCCAGGTGGGCTGCACTGGGAGGCTTTACACCCCTACTGACTATCAATGGTAGCTCCTTAGGGTTCTAGGCAGGAATGTTTCCTGGAGGTAGCAGGGACTGAACCATCAGCCAGCAAAAATGGGTCATTAACTACCTCTTGCCCAGCTACCAATCCCAATCTTCCAGAGAATTCCAAAAATCTCCAGCAACATCCATCATTTGCAGGCACTACATAGCCCCCACTTGGCTGTTTGGACCACCAACACCCTGGCTGCACCTGAGTGGCCACTCCAGAGTCACGTGCTCCTAATCTTGTGAAATAAAAAGGTGAGTCCCTTTCCCCAACATCGCTGAAGGAGCTTATCTCAGGCTTTCTAAGCTCTTTTAATGCAGCAAAGTGGTGCAGCCCCAACTGCTCTCTCCGTTCATCATTTGTTAAGCAAACACTCCCAAATCCCTGCCAATAAATGCGATTAGCAGAGACATCTCTAATTCCACCCCACTCTCCATTCTGACATTTTGTTTTTAATCAACGTGACCGGCTGCAGCGAGGGCCGGAAAGAAATGGGGGCATGGGAAGACAGCACATGATGGCTTGGCAGCAGGACAGGAGGTACCTGAGGACGCGTCTTCAGGGCAGCTGCTCATGCAGCCCCAGAGACAGAGCTTCCACAACCGGAGGGGAGGAAGCCTTCCTAAGATGGGTGGGGAACTGTTCCTTCCAGGCATCTTTGCCCTGACAGCAGGGAGTCTGCCTGGCTTGCATCATAGGAGCCTCTCATACAGCCAGGACCGGGACCTCTTCCAGCTGAAGGCTGAGGTCCATTTCAGGCTTGCTCTCAGGGGCTCCTTTCTCATGGTGGAAGGGCCAAAGACTAAAGCAAGCAGCAGGACCAAAATGGCAGAAGTCATCGCGTATTTTAGTTTAAAGCTCTCCGTGACAGTAACTAAATCTTAAAAGTGGGAGGAACTGCCTAAAGGCTAGGAATGCAACAGTCAGTCAGTGTTTAGGGGAGAGAGAGAGAGAGAGAGAGAGAGAGGGAGGGAGGGAGGGAGGGAGGGAGGGACCAGGCAAAGGTATGTGGCTTTCTGGGCTACCCTGGTGGGCCAGCTTGGGACCCCAGGAGGTGATAAATGTGGCCCCTGGGCTGGAGGTTATGCACCCCTGCAGCTTCCAGAAATCATATTTCTTTTCTTCTTTTGAAGAAAGATCTCACCCTGGCTCTGAGTCTTCCCTTTTTGGGCTTTTCTGCGTGAGGGTGTTAGTATGCTATACTGACTTTCAGTATTATTGTATAAACAGTGTATCCTTTCCTGTGTTTCTGATATGTAACTTCTATGTAGCCTTTCCTGATTTTCTGATACGCAAGTTCTAGGTGGTACTGTGGTACAGTACTTGCGAATATACACATGGAAAAAAGAATTTTCCTTTGTTTTCTTAAATAATGTTGCATTTTCCCTGCTCTGAAATAACTTGCTGAAAGTGCCCTGTAAAAACAGAAGCAAAACTGGAGGCTAAAGGATCCAGGGACAACTCTAAGTAGGGAATCATGATTGCACAATAAATGCCTCATGTAGGAAGGCAGGCAGGCAACCTCTCTTTCTCCTTACATTGTTTTCAGTGTTTTCTTAGGGCCCCCTGTAGACCCTAAGACAGAGATAGACATCTTGTGACCTTCCAGATGCTTTTGCCTACAACTCCCATCAGCCTTAGCCAGCATCATCAATGGTGTGAGATTATGGGAGTTGTAGCTTCTAGTATTTATTATATTTCTATGCCACCCAAAGCTGAAGCTGTCTAGATGTTTTGGCATACCAGTTGCCTTCCCCTACTTTAAGGAACCAGTTTAACCACATCCTCTCTCTTCCAGGTAACTCTGGGAAATGTGTTTCTGACAGCAGTGAATTCTTGGCAATTCTTGAACTACAGCATAAAGCAGACATGAGACAGGAGATTCATGACCAGGTCTCCCAACTTTAAAAGAAAACTTAGAAGTAGCTTCAGGATGGGTGGGTGGGGGGGGGGGGATCTGATTTTGCTATCTATTGGTCAATTGGGATGTAGTAGTCAAGCTACAATAATGGAAAGCAAGCAAACTACAAGAAAAAAGATGATATATAGTATGCAACCCTAAGAACGATTTTAATTGTTGAATCTAACTATCAAGAGGCTTAATTAATAACAATGTTCCAGGATTTAACTATTGACAAAATATCATCAGTATTGACTCCATCAAAATTGAAACACACAGCAAATGTGATTTGCTCGGAAATGCTCTTATTAAAGGAGAAAGACCAAGTATTGTTTTGCACCTTTCTAAAAATAAGATTTTAAAAGCATTGATGCAAGAGATTTAGTTTCATTTTTGGATTCTGTTTCAGTAAAAAAATCATCTGCATGACTGCCATTTTTTGAAAGACATCTTTTATCACCATTGATAGCATAGCATTACCTCTAGCCAAAAGGAAGGTTCTACCTCCCTTCTGTCATTTGGACTGGAGGAGCATTCCTTCACTTACTCCTCCAAAGGGCCCAAAGACTCACCTAGTCCAGTCTCCTGCGTGAGGCCAGACCCTCAAGTGCTGAGCATGCACCAGATTCAGTGCTGACATCCAAGGCAGCGATTTTTTGATATACACTTTTTCCTCAGAGAAAGAAAGAGAACAAAAAGGACTAGGCTTTTTGAGGCAGGTTCCCCATTGCTGTACCTGCAGAGGTGAACTTGTTCAAGCAAGCTCTATGAAGCCAGAGTTGTAAAGGCAAGTTCAAAGATAATGAGATGCCTTGGATGAGCAAAGACCCATGGTTCAAGAATCTTAAGCTGTTTGTGAGTACATGTCCCACACTAGAGACCTTCAAGAAGAAATTGGACAGCCATCTGAGTGGGGTGGTGTAACATGGTGTCCTGCAACAGCAGGGGGTTGGACTTGATGGCCTTCATGGCCCCTTCCAGCTCTACTATTCTGTGATTCTATGTAAGTGACCAGACTTGCTGGTTCCTGTCACTTGCTCAATTGTTTAGAGTTAAACAACCCAGCATTTTAATCCAACAATAAACCTCACATTAACAGTTTAATGCCAAACTACCCTGAGTGTTGTGCCGGCACATCATGACAAGAACCCAGGTGTTTCTGAAAGCTAACTGAAATCGGAAGTGGTATGAGGGAGAGAGGCACCATACTGTGCAGCCACACAAATTCCTGGACTGTTTCAAGAACCGGCCACTGGCATTATATTCAAAGGAAGGCCAGTGCTTTAATTCTGCATCTGCACTTGAGCTGTGGTTGAGGTTCGGCTCTCCTGAGCTGCTGCAGACATGGGCTCATGAATAACCTGCGAGTGCCACAGGATTAGATGCTACAACACTGCTGGAACTAAGCACCAGTAGACCAAATCCATATTCTGGATGCGAGCTCAGGTCATGAGTGGCAACAGAAAACAAGCCAAGCTGGGGCCACTGAGTCACAAGAGGGAAGCATCAGCCTATTCAGGGCAGGCCTACAGAATCCTTAAGGGGCATGAAAGCACCCAGAACAGCCCAGTGAAGACTGAGCAACCACAACAGCTACGGCATGATGAGTCTCACCTGGAAAAGATACAACAGAAAGCCAGCAGTGGGAGGGGATGTGGGGGCAGGAAGGGCAGAAAGAAATGTCCCAGAGAAGGATATGGCTTGCTGGCAGGAACCCTGAGCAGAATTACTCCTGTTAGAGATGAAGAAGATATGCTGCAACATTTTGTTGGTAGATACATTGGTAAATACGTATTTTTATATTTCTGCTGCTTCATTTTCCATAGACGAAGCTATGTGAAGTATTAGCTTTCTTTAAACAAACCGAACCATCAATCAACCAACAAACCCTGTATCCCCGTGACCTCACTGACGGTAACAATGCATAGGAAAAGTGCAAATACCCATATGGGATACAGTTCCCAGAATTAGAATCCGATTCACCTGATCGTTAGTTCCAAGATCACAAGCCATTGCCTCTTGGCAGACCATATCACTTCCCCTCAGAATGAACTGGCCAAGCAGGGAGATGGAAAGCATCAACATTGCTTTCAGACTACTAGAAGCTCTTCCTCTCTAGCGCAGAATTCTACTTACTGGCTACCTCCAGAGATGCATTGCGGCTGACCGATATTTCTGCTGCTTCATTTTCCATAGACGAAGCTATGTGAAGTATTAGCTTTCTTTAAACAAACCGAACCATCAATCAACCAACAAACCCTGTATCCCCGTGACCTCACTGACGGTAACAATGCATAGGAAAAGTGCAAATACCCATATGGGATACAGTTCCCAGAATTAGAATCCGATTCACCTGATCGTTAGTTCCAAGATCACAAGCCATTGCCTCTTGGCAGACCATATCACTTCCCCTCAGAATGAACTGGCCAAGCAGGGAGATGGAAAGCATCAACATTGCTTTCAGACTACTAGAAGCTCTTCCTCTCTAGCGCAGAATTCTACTTACTGGCTACCTCCAGAGATGCATTGCGGCTGACCGCTTCACCCAGGTAGTTCCGGGCTACGCAGATGTACACGCCTTCATCAGGTTTGCTTCTCCGCCCGTGCACGATGCGCAGAAAGAAAAGGGAGCCGCTGGGCAGCAACATGCGATGAGACCGAGGGTCTTCTTTGTCCGTTTCCACACGTTCCCCATCCTTGTACCACTCAATGATAGGAGTGGGCCGTCCCTCCGCTTTGCAGTTCAATGTTGCCGGTTCCCCTTTGGACACAATGAGGTCAGAGGGATGCTCTATGATCCTTGGAGAGAAATCCTCAAGACGAGGCCGAGAACCTAAGGTGGGAGAAGGAAAGAGAAGAGGATTTATAGAGTGCAGCACACCAAAGGTCAACTGCAAAGCTAAAAAGGAGGACAAGATAGCAAACTGTCAGCCAAGTCGATAGTGGCTAGGGATGTATAAGTCATTAGCTTCCGTTCAGTTTTGAACAGGAATTCTCCAGTTTGTGCCTTTGAGTCAAAATGCAGTTTTCAACACAATCTGCTACTGAAGTCCATATATTTGCAAGTTTGTAATATGATTGGTGGGTTGCCCACAATTATTCAACAGCTTGCATACATTCAAAAAATGCACATAAAACAAATGCATACTTTTGAAGAATCCACAGAAACATGCTTTAATCAATGAAATAATGCCTGCATTTCAAAAATGTACTAACTTGATGCATACCGTTGGAAAATAAGCTTGAAATAACACGCATGTGCATAAATAAAAATGTAATGTGGACTTGCTTGCGATGTAATGCAAACTCAAGTCAAAATAAGCATCATGACTGAAGGCAAAGGATTTCAGCTGTGCTCGAGTTTTGCAGCTTCAGAAATTCCTAACTATGGCTTAGTTAAGAGCATAAGAAGAGCCCACGCTGGATCAAACTAAGGTGCATCTATTTTTTTTATTGGATTTACCCAATTAGCCATAGGCTCTCTGGGTAGCTTCCAATATAATCAATAGCACAATATAATACAGTAAAATCAACAAGTACAATAAAACCAATCATAATAAAACAATAATAACCAACTAATATAAATAAGTAATTAATGATAATTTTAACAATAAATTAAATAGAATAAGATGAATAAATTGAGAAGATAAACTGAGAACATGAAGCTAATTAAACAGCCAATACTACAAAACAAATTATACATGTTGTCATGTTACCATCATCCCACCTGCCACTCCTACCATGGCCATCTCCTGGCCTGGCATAGGACCCCCTCAGGGAGCCCTGCTTCTGCTTGCCCCCTGCACCCTTTGCTTGCCTGCGCTCTGCTACCCTCGCTTGAGTCTGAGAACCATGGTCCCTTGGTGAAGACAAAGTCTCTGGGGAAGAGAGTCCCCAGGTAACCTGGGCCACTACGAAGGGATGCAGCCAAGGGACAAAGCCCTTGTCCCATCACCCTTCACGCATCACCTGTTGGTGCCACCAATGGCTGAGTGCGGCTTTATAAGCCTCAGGGGCCACTGCCCCCCTCTGCTTCCTCCTGGGCCCCTCTGGCCTCTCTAGCCCTGCCTCCCTCCCTCTCCACTCCTCCTGCCCCTCAGTCCTCTGCCCAAGCTCCTACCTTGCCTTTGCAAGTTCCCTGGCCACTCTCTCTGCACTTCTCTGGCCTCTGCTGCTCCCACCAAGATCCAAAACCAAACCTGCCCCCTCAAAATCACGGGGATCGGAGCACCCCATCCTGATTCACCACAGCAATGTGATGTTGATATGGTGGATACAGTAATAAAGCTTCCAATCAGCAAGACAAGAGAAGGCCAAACCAAATCATCTTTATTCTAGTCCTCCAACCATGCAACCAACCGTCCCATCAATATTACCAATCCATCATCTTCAGCAGCCAACCATCTCGATCGTAATACAACTCCAACTGACTAGATCTTAACACAGCCCAGCATATCACTTACCAACCACCTACATTCAACACATTCCACAATATATTCCGTCACACCTCTCATTCACCGATCCTCCATCACCACGTGCACAGTCCATCCACCACATTATAGCCCAACAAGACCATCTCCAGATGAAGCCCACTTGCGCATTCCTGAAAATCAGTTTCCCCAACCTGAAAGGGGGAAAACCCTTCTCAAAATAAGGAAGGAAGGAAGGAAGGAAGGAAGGAAGGAAGGAAGGAAGGAAGGAAGGAAAGAGTGAGCCTCCGAGGAGCCACCAAAGGGCCCATTTGGCATCATCCCTTGGCAGCTGCCCAGAACTCCTGCCCAAGGGAACTGCCCCTGGGGCCAGCCAGCTGAAATAGGCTCTCACCAAGGCTGTTTGCACCCCTCCCAGGTCCATGCCTCTATGCTCCACAACACAGGTGAGGAGCCTGCACCCCCACGGGCCCCTCTGAGTCCTCTCATAACTCAGTTGGGCCGCTGGCAGAGCTGGGCAAGGCCACAAGAGAATCACGAGGGGAGTCCGGGAAGCCTGCAGTGGAGTGGTGTGGGGCAGCTGGACAGGTGCAAAGAGAGCACCCCTCCTGCATCTAGTCCACCATTCTGTTCCCAGAGTGCCCAGCCAGATGTGCATTGGCAGTCCGCCAGCAGGATATGAATACAAGAGCCCCCATCTCTAGCAATTGGGATTCAGAGGCATATAACTTGGATTATGGATTTAGAATATACCCACATTTCATCTAGCTGCATCCTGATGAAGTCCTTCTGTGTTTTTGCATAGAGCTGACCCCTGGAGGGGTAGTTAAAGTCCCATAAGCTGACCCTTGACAAAACTGGTTTATACAAATCTATGAAGTATTTGGGATGTCATGAACCCCCTAAAGTTTCTTTGCAAGTAGCCAGATCAAATCAACCTGGTGGCATGCAGGCAAAACTTACCTTATACAGAAAAAGGGACCACTCCTAATTCCAGGCTGCCTGTGATGCATCCAGGCGCCTCCCTTGGGTTTGTCACATAGAGAAATGAATCTTTTCAGAAGCGGCCCTCAGAAAGACAAATTATGCTCCAGGCAGCTCTATAAACTGGGAAGGTAAAGAGTCGCGTGGAATTAATCCTTTTAATTATCTGCTACAGCCTCTGGGAACTACCCAAATTCATTTTCAGCACCTTAGACAGAGCAGCTCAAAGCCCACTCCCTGGTTTTGCACCAGATGTTCTTCCTCTGATGCCTCCCCATTGCCTTGTGCCAGAAAAGACAAACGGACCTGTTCTGGCTCTGTCTAAACGCTGTGCATCAAGTTACTTGGGAGAGGAGGGGGAAGCACAGCACAGGTGGATTCTTGGAAGATGTACCCGTACGCTGAGAGAATTACAGAAATCGGAATTACAGAAGGGATGGTATTTGCCCCACGCCTGTGATGCTGGCCTTCCAAACGTCGCCCCAGTGAACTCTTCAGGAAGGTTCAAGAGGTCGGTGAACCTGACCTCAGAGAGTCAAACGGAGTTTTCCCAAGAGTCACAAAGAAAGAAAAGGTAAACTCTGTTGGGGCAGTGAAAAGCCAACCAAAGGCAAAGGTGCTATTCAGTGAAAAAACGGCTGATTAACTGTAGGAGTTTGCCTTGATCAATTAGAAATGTCACATGGCTGTCAAAGGAGGAAGTGGGGGAAACATACTTTGTTTTTGGTTGATGAACCAGTGTACCAAAGCAAGCACCAACTCAGAAAAAGATATTCCCTCCTTTATAAAAGAAACCAAGGAAGGCCTCGTCTAAAATACATATCAATGCATGAAGAATGAATGAATGAGAACATGCTGGCCATCCAGAAACTAATGTAACTTAATATCTAATGTAACTTAACACTTAGAGCAGTTATGAATGGAATTTGGACTAGCCTTGGATAGGGCTCATAGCCTGTTAGGTTGAAAAAATTAACCCTTTAAAATAATTAGCACTTTGGCACTGTTAGAAACGATCAAACAACTTAAAGCCAAGTAATAGGATCGACTAAGGACTTACGAAGAGCCAAGGGTCAGCAAGGGTCCATCTGGTCCAGCATTCCCATCACAAGTGGCCTACCAGCTGCCCATGGGGTACCAAGAGCAGGACAGGTGTGCAACAGCACTGTCCTGCCCAAACTCCCCAGCAGCTGGTGCACGTACCCATACTGCCTAGGGCTAGGCTATCAGCCACAGCACATAGCCATTAGGGCTGGGAGCACTTATGGTCTCCTTCTCCATGAATTGGCCCAATCACTTTTTAAAGCCACTGAAATTCGTAACCATCACTATGCCTTGTGGAAGCAAATTTCACAGCTTAACTATGTGCTGCATTCCAGTTCTGGGCACAGCTTAAGGCAAAAGGGGCAGGACCAACCTACCAAAAACCTCCTAGCATTTATGAGCTTACAGCTTTTATTACGGCTACTTATGGGAGGCATTCCACTTTATAGAATGGAGAGAGAAACGACACAAAAGCTGTGGAACTACCAAATGATTGGTGCTCAGGGAAAGCATCTGCAGGGCCACAACTCCCCTCCCTGGAGGGCCACAAGTTACCCCACCCTGCTAGTGAGAAACATGCCACGCTGGATATTTGGCATGATCAAGAGACAGAAAGGAGGAACTCTGTCTGATGCAGAGCGCTAGCAAGGCCAGTCTGGCAGCTTGCATTTGTGTTTGCCCATGGAAGCGCATGGCTTCCATATTGCATCTTTGGGGAGAAAAATGGAATGAGCTCCAATGGAAGGTGTCACTGCATTCCTTTCCCTTTCCACCAGAGCCTTCTGTTGTCCAGGGCAAAAAAGATATTTGCCATATCATAAGAGGAGAGGAAGGGAATCCTGCTGATGAGGGAGAACTTTGGCAGGAGGAGAAGCAACAGAGCACTCAACAGCACAGAGACCCATGCTCTCTACCTTTCCATTCATAGGAACCCTGCCATGCTGGATTTCTAGCTGAGATGCAACTCTGTATAAAGCTGCCTTCTACAGAATGAAACCATTGCCCCATCTGAAAAGCTGCTGCGTGGACTGGCAGCAGCTGTGCAAGGATTTTGGGCAGGGGTTTTCCTGAGCTGGAGCCACTGGAATGCAAAGCATGTGCTTGTTCCACAGAGCTACAGCCGTTCCTCCCAAGCAGAGGAAATTCCATTGCACTACAAGTTCAGCATCCCCCAGTTCTGGCATGGATGTAGCTCCTAATTTCTACAGCAGTGGATCAGAAGATAAGAGCAGCCTTGTTGGATCATCTAGTCCAGCATCCAGTTTCCCACAGTGGGATTCTTAGAGCCATTATGGCCCTAACCGAACCTTCCACCAATTATTTAATTCCTATATACAGTTATCATCTCTAGGTTTTTAAAACACTTCCCAGCATA